GAGGCGCGTTAGAGCTCCGGGCTGGCGCAACCGCCTGTGGATCTGCCGGGGATTGGATCCGACCCACGCTGGGGTGTGCGGGACGGGTTGGGGCTGGGCCTGGGCCTGGGGACGGAAGGGTGTCCGATCCCCGGGTTCTCCGTAGGAGAGGGGTCTGGAGCACCGAAGGAGGTGGAGGCTGGAGGCCCGGGCTCCTCTGGGTGCTTGCGAAGGAGAAGGGCTGGGGGGTCCGGATATCTGCTTTCACAAGGGCCGGGGGATGGGGGATCCAAAGAGGGGATCTGGGTTCCTGGATCCTCGCTGGAAGAGGGGTCTTGGAGGTCTAGATTCCTGGGCTGTCAAGGAGGAAGGGTCTGGGAGGGGTGCTGTTTCTGGGGTTTTTAAAGAGGGGCGTCTTCAAATCTGGGTCCCCAGTATGGGTACGGGGAGTAACTTTGATTTCTGCCTTCGCAAAGGAGGCGCCTGGGTGCTGGGAGATCCCCACGCTTTCCTGGGTTCTCAAAGGAGAGAAGAGCTGGAGGCCTGTGCGCTCATAGGAGAGGGGCTGGGGGTGGATTCCTGTCTCCAAGGAGGAAGGGGCTGGAGTCCGGTTCCTACGTTCTCAAAGGAGAGGAGCTGAGTCTCGGACTCCATCATCCTCAAAAACTGGAGTCTAGAGGGCTGGGTTCCTGGATCCTCGAAGAGGGAGGAGGCAGGGGGCCTGGATTCCTGGGTTCTCACTGTGAATCTCTGCCCCTCCCCCAGACCATGTCGCCTGAAGAATGGACGTATCTAGTGGTTCTTCTTATCTCCATCCCCATTGGCTTCCTCTTTAAGAAAGCCGGTGAGTCAGGCTCCCTCCGCAGTGGAAAATAAAGGGGGGGACCCTCTGGAAGGTTCCAGCCTTATTCTGTCCCTTCCCCCTGCAGGTCCTGGGCTGAAGAGATGGGAGGCAGCTGCTGTGGGCCTGGGGCTCACCCTGTTCACCTGTGGCCCCCACACTTTGCATTCTCTGATCACCATCCTTGGGACCTAGGCCCTCATTCAGGCCCAGCCCTGGTGAGAATTTGGTGGAGGGAGG